TCATGTCATAACAATATTTATGGCACATTGTCTGGATCACTGCTAAAATCCTAAAGTTGCACTCAGGCCACGCGCCTTCACTGCTAGAGTTTGTTGGAGTTTCCAGCGTAATGCAGTTTTTAACCTTAACGGCACCCTACCGTGACACCTGCACTGTGAGTTTTTTGACCCCAGTCAGCCCTTGAACATAGACTGCTTGATCCAAAGTCGACAGTGCATGTCTTGCATTTAAAGCAGTGTCATCCAGGCAGAGAAAGAATAGTCCTCCACTCTGCATTTTATGGAAACCAAAAGAACTCCTGTTGCACCATCTGCGTCTGAAGACTGAAGAAGCTTTTACCCAGTGGTACAATAGTCCTCAGCTATTCACCAGTCAAAGAGCACTCAATTAGTTTTATGTTAATACATCCCCAGGCTATCGTACTGATGTCACTAGCAAATGGAAAATCATCTATAAAGATGCCACGCCTTACAAATCAAGCAAAGGCTGCAATGCTGGCTGTAGAGACCTTTACAGAGGTAAAGCAAGTCTGACACAGTAGTGTCCACGGAAATTCTTCAACACTTTATAGTTACAAATGCCCAAATTCTCCTCAGAATAATTGAGTTATTGCCATACAGGAAACTGATGAGAATATACAAAGGTATCAATTAGGGAATATAGTCTTGAAGTACCACTGATTAATCCTAACTTATAAGAAGAATTGTAAGACAATCAGTACAGCGAATTTAAGTTCTTGCACATTATTGTAATCTTTGTAGGTCAAGTTTAATGTCAGTTCCAAAACGGCAAAGAATGTAGTGGTGGAATGTGAAGGTCTGGGACTTGTTAATGAAGAGGTTCTACCAGAGGATAATTATGAATCAGATGACGAAGATGAATCAGAGGATGAACATGAATCACGTGATAAACGTGTATCAGATGATGAACATGAGTCAGATCACGCATATGAATTGGATGAGGAACATGGAAGNTGTCAGTTCCAAAACAGCAAAGAATGTAGTGGTGGAATGTGAAGGTCTGGGACTTGTTAATGAAGAGGTTCTACCAGAGGATAATTATGAATCAGATGACGAAGATGAATCAGAAGATGAACATGAATCACGTGATAAACTTGTTTCAGATGATGAACATGAGTCAGATCACGCATATGAATTGGATGAGGAACATGGAAGAATGTAATATGCCATCTGAATATCAAAGTCAACTACCCAGGCTTGGAGTGCTGGTTTTCCTGCAGCAGCAAGCCAAGCCTTGGCAGACCTGGTTTTCCTGGATTAACTGGGCCTGGCCAGAAGAAGGACATGCACTTTTACTGTGTTTGAAAGACCTCGCCTTTGACTTTGCCTGGAAGGCAGGCACGTTTCCTGCACTTGTAATTTCTGACCTTCTGGAGCTGCAGTTTAACTGCGTCCTAAAGGCGCAACCTGCAGAACGTGCGGTTTTAGCGCGTTCGAAGTGACTAGCCAGCAGGTTATGTGGTCTTATTGTGGCTTTACCGCATCTTAGGGACCTACTATAAGCGGACGATTTATCAAAGAGCACACAGTCTGTGGTTGCATGTCACGCACAAATGATTGCCTACTAAGTGGTACCCAGTCTGCTACCTGGACGCTGTTTTTACGTTTCACCTACCTCTATTTCAGTGTCACGCACGAAACAGATTCCCAGGCGGTGCCAACTGCCTGGGAATTGGAACACATTATCTAGGACAAGATGGTACTCCATATTAAAATGGAAACGTCGAGGGGTGTTGTTGTTAAGGGGCTGACACTGTTCAGTATAAAACCGTTTATCTTTCTCACTGCTTTAAGAGTCGCTAGGAACGTTAGTGTCACACCATGTCAAAGAGGATAGGTCAGGCAAAAATCTTGATTAATTTAGTAATGGTAATGCAGATAAGAAAAATTTTAACAAGTATTACAAAACGAGAGATCCTAAGCCAATCCTCCTCGGCTAAAACTACTCCCATCATTTCCTAAATACCCGGTATCTTTTCTAGAACTTCAGTTTCAGACATGTATTTTTCTCTGCTGAGCCACCTTACCATTAAAAAGATGTCTAACCAAACAATTATGTTACGTTTAAAGACCAGTAGTTTTCTTGCATCTTGCAAACACATATCAGGTTAACGTGTTTTCAATTAACCTTTAATTCTCATAACAGTGTCCAGCTGAAAGGTCATGACAGTAAAGAAAATCATCAACTAGGAATCAATTCCGTAACTGTTCAATTCATGAGAAGATGATTCTTCTGTCAGTTACACAGTTATACTCGGAAAAAGAGATTTACGAGTGTCCAGCTAGAAGTCGAACCTAAGACCTGGTTACTCGATTCCAGATGCTCTACCACTGAGTTACAGAGACTAAATTCATTTATAGCGGTCAGTGCTGTGAATGAAACAAAAACAGAAAGAAATGTGCAGTAACCACGAAGAGCAATCATTCTTTGAGATACTGTAACCTTGTTCGGTCTTGTAGTTGTACAGATTGATACGTCTAATGGTAATTAGTATCAC